AGTTACCTAGGAAACCTTAATGTCATTTTTTTTATGAGTAGAGTTTGGTGCAGCATAAAGTTAATTTATAGGGTGGTTAGGAATTCATGTCACGACTGGTGAAATAGGAGACTTTATTATGATTTCTATATCCACCTGTGTGGTACGAATACATACTTTCCCTCTATTATTATGGGTAATTTCTTGAGAAGTAATTATGAATATACATGCTGTTTCACAAAACGAGTTGACCCATTGTTCAATGTAATTCCTTATATTGTTCAGCGTAAGCCTTAGAACATAATTAGCAATAACAATGAACCAATAATATACCAGGTAATCTGTTCAGAGATGAAGGACACGGTGGAATTTTCTTTTAAATGATGAGGTGGTTCTGCCTTGGAGGCAAAGAATGAATAAGATGAGATTTTGAAATACTTCAACTATGTGTTTCATGTCTTTGAGGTCCACGTTAGGGAAGCTCTATAAATTCTAAATATGTTCACTACTTCATCCTACCTATTTCTTTCTGTCTTTGTCCAAAGGGAAAAATATAGAGCTGTGAAGATACAGTAATGAAATGTTTAAAATGGCTTATAAATAACCAACGGGACATTCTAGAGTCAAGCTTCTTCTAAAGGCTGAGACCAGGGGGTGGCTGTGCAAGAACTATTAGATTCAGAGTTGGTGCTTACATTACCAGGCACTCCGTGGAGGGTTTTTAATAAATCAGTGCATTCGTTCTCATACTACTCCTATGAGATTGGCATCCTTTCTGCCAGTTACAGATGGCTTCTGAGCCCAGGAACCTGTCCAAAGACCCAATTCCTAGTGCAGAAGGCAATATGGAACCCGGGTTTGTACAAGTCCAAAATCCAATCTTTCCGAGAATTCTAGTTCCTGTTCTGTCCCTGTTTTTTGTTTTCCCGGGGCAAGTCACAGAGAGCTTGCACCCTCTCTTTCCTCAACTATTAAATGTGGGGATGGAACACAGACCTGGCAGAACTTGGATTTCAGTACCCCTGCTCTGGTTGGAGATCAGTGCTGATAACAGCCAAGCTGTGCCTTCTCAAGAGGATAGAAATTTTAGGGAAGACCTGGGCTTGCTGAATAAACAAAGTCACCCAGTTTCTGTGGACAAATGCACCCACTTTGAAAAAAAAAGAAGATTGCCTCCCAGGACTCTTCAGGGCATCTGGGTGGAGTTGCTAATTGGCACGACAGCCCGTCTGACTGTTGGTTAATAAAGCTATAGTTAGAATGTAGGTAGTAATGGGTGGGCAGCATAGAAATCTTCTGAGTGCCAGGAGCCAAGTAGCACAGACTTTCTGGAGACCCATAAGTCCCCAGACCCTATGCAAACACCTTTACCATTCTCTGTCATTGCTTCAGAAAAACAGACTTTTCCAGCTCCATCAGCTCCAGTGACTGTCTGAGCTCGTGGGGTAGAGGATGGACAGGGTAGAGCAAAAGAAAGTAGCTGCAGCCATCCTGCCTAACCTCTCCACAGTGCCCTCCGGCAGCAGAAGAGGCAACGCGCAAATACTTTAGGATCAGCTAAGGTGTAGAGGAGAGCTTAACAATCTCAAAGGCAGGGGGAAAAAAATGACCAAGCTTGCCTTTGCCAGGTATGGTCAACAGAGGAGAGGGTCCTTGGAGGCCATACGGCCCAATTCTCTCATTTCCTGAGGTCAAAACATCACAATGAATTAACCACAGCAGCTACTGCACAGGACCCCTCCCTTGCGACATGCTGAGCACCCTCGCCTTCCCCAACAAACAGTCCGCTTCACTGAAACATCTAGTAGATGAATACTGCTTTTCACAAGGTAAAGGCCTAATTTGTTCCAACATTTCCATTCTGTTTCTGTTCAGCATTTCAACCACAGGGTGGTGCTATTGCAAAAGGTAAGGGTGAGCAGGCAGCACTCCAGAAATTTGCTTTAGGAGAGAATTTTAAAGGGGGCTTTCAAACACTAGATCTAATTCCTGCTCTCACAAACCACTTTCAGGAGTCAGTGCCTTATGCTTGGATGCAGCAGGGAGAAAAAGAAAGTTCAGCCGCCTAAAAATACAGTCAACAGATGGACGGCCAAGGCCATGCTCATGGAGTGAATTTGGAGAGAGACAATTGCCTAGCTAATCAAAAAAGCCCTCATTCTGGATGGACTTCCATACCCAGCATTGTCCCTGGCGCATGAACTCACCAGCTTGCTTCCCAGCTCTGTTCTCTGCTTTAGCTATCTATACCACTAAGATTTTTCCCTAGTTAGAAAAGCTGGATTTGCTTGGAAGTCACCATGTTCTGCAGTTCCAAAATGAATCTATATTATGTTCATCACTATCTTAAAAAAAATACACTTTTCTACTCCTTTTTCTAGCCACCCTCTTCTTTGATCACCTTACCACTCTTGAAAGTAAAAAAGGAAGACATGGGTCTCTAGTCCTCTTCAGGGGGGAGAAGAGAACCTTTAGCTTTGAAGCAGAAGGCAGCTTGCCTGCTCAAGGGAGGTTGCGTGAAAAAAGTCTTCCAGAAACGAGCGGTGGCTTCACGTTTGGGAGAAAAAAATGACAAGAGGGCATCTGAAACGCTCTGCATCTGCCTGCTTCTGCCTCTGTTCCTCTCTCCTCCCCTCAGCCCCTCCCTCCCTTTCCTCCTCCCAAAGGCACCACACATATTTGGCAAGATTAAGGTGTCACCTCTCATATTACAAGGCACCGTTGATGGCACGCAAACACGGGCCCACCAGCTCAGGACAAAAACCCCTCCTGCTGGGGAACAGTACAAACTCTTCCTGGGATCACCTGGGTTCTGGCAAAGTGAGGCGGCTGGTCAATGCAGGGCGTCCGCACAGCAAACCGATCTTAAACTCACGGCTGCCTTTTCTTCTTCATTTTCCCTTCCGATTTTTCAAATTTAAGTTTGCCCCGCTCCCTTCCCCCCCTCCCTGAAACTGCCAGTGACCGAGGAGCTGCAGGCCGACCAGCCCGCACATGTTTTTAACCCATTCCTCGCTGCAGCCCGAGCCAACCACCACTTTCCCTGCAATCCTGGGGTCACCGGAGGACCTGGAGCTCCCGAAAACAGTCCCTAGAACTTGACCGGTGGAGCTGAAGCTGGGGCCTGAATCCCTCTTTTGACTGCGGTTCGGGGGGGAGGAGGAGGGAGTGCGGGAAGTGAGGGAGGGTAGGGAGGCGGGCCGAGCAGAGGGAGAAAACCAGAACCCAGATCACGCCCAATCCAAACCTTCATGGTGCTGTGTGCCGGGTGGAGGGGACGACTCGGCAACCTAATCTGGCCCGGAGGAGGACCTCGACATTTTGGCACAAGGGAGGCACTGAAGGAGACCCTGCTCTTCCCAGGGACCGCGGGAAGCGGCTCCCCTGGGTCTCAGTGGGCGCTTCTGGCTGTTTTCGATGTGGCATCCTGCATCTGCCAGGATAATGACGAGGCAGGTACAATCTATCTAGTATGCAGCCCCCAGACTCCCCGTTCCTTCCTACCTCCCCTGGGGCCCCACAGCCTCTCTTTGCGCCGCATTCGGTCTGATCTGGTTGGCACAGTGCTGGTGCTGCTCGTGTTTGACCAAATTCTCAAACAAATCAAAAGAATGTGGATATCTTGAACCTGACCCTAGCTGAAACATACAGTGGGTCGCTGGACACCTAGGACAGAAGGCAAGGAGGAGATGGGATGCTTACTCACTCTCCTCCCCCAGTCGCGTGTGAGTCAAAAGGTCCTGGCAAGAAATGGGGTGAGGAGTGGCTGAGACGGCAGGGAGGAAGGGGTGGGGACCTCGGAGGAGAGGTCCGCCACGCCACCGTCGGGGAGCTGGACAGGAGGCGGCTAGGAGCACAAAGCCACTCCCAGGCTCTGGATTTTTCTTTGGCTCCTATGTGACGTTTTCTCCCCCACTTCTCTCCACGACGAACGGGCGAAAGAAAGATGACTTAACTCTAAATTTAGAGAGAACGATCTCAGAAGAAGTGGGGTCTAATGGGCAGCTGTAATCATCTCAAATAAGAGATTTGGCACAAAGCTCCCTCCTGCCCCCCGCATCCTTTCCTCGAATGATCTGTGGATGGGGAATGAGCGTCATTACTTTATGAGCGCTGAGAAGAAAACCTCTTCTCTGTGGCTTGCCTTCTCTGCTTCCCGAGCCGTCCCAGCGTGCAGATGGGTGGGTGCTGGGCGGGTGCTCAGCTGCAGGGCCCCATCCAAGTGTGGAAGGAAGGGGCTTAGGGGGAGTTGGAGGCTGGGCGAAATGGGAGTCTCCGAGCCATCGCTCTCTCCCTTCCACACTCACTCTCGTGCAAACACACACACACACACACACACACACACACACACACACACACAGCCGCCCCTCCCTTGACCCCCAATCCCCCACCCTCCATACCTCTCTGACTTGATGTCCCTTGACGCTCCTGCTAGTGCCCGGGAGCGGCGGGTTCGCTGGGGAGCGATTGTTCTCGGGCGTGTTCGTGTTGTGGGGCTGCGGAAGGAGTGCGGGTGGGCTTGATAGGAGGTGGGGAGAGATCGGGAGCTGGAAGGGTCTAAGGTTTGGAGGAGGAGTTTGCACAGAACATCCAAGCCGCCAAAGGGAAGGGGTGAGAAGGGCCCTTCTGCCTTCTAAAGGAAATCTTAAAAAGAATAAAGAAGAGCAAAAAGATTTTTTTTCATGAAAAAGAACAATTAAGACAGGCCGAAGACATTAACGTGTAACATGTAGTGGAAAGTTGAGTATTTCTTTCTCTTTTTTCTTTCTGGATCTCTAAAAGGGAAACCAAGGGGATACTGAAGGGTGATACTAATTTGGAAGTTTCTGGTGTTTTTCTTTAAGAGAGGCTAGGTGGCACGACCCCGTCCCGGTCCCGGTTCCGGGGCCCACATCGCGGCGGCGCCGGGGTGCGGGCCTGCGCGGCGGGCGGGCGCGGGGGCGGGCGGCGCGGCGCCGAAGGGGTTAAGGCGCCGCGCGCGGAGCCATCTGGCCGGGTTGGCTGGTTATAACCGCGCAGATTCTGCTCCCGGGACTCAGAGTTGAAGGCTCCGCTCCCTACCGAGCAGCTCCGCGCGCGGCCCCGCGAGAGAGCCCGGCGCAACTACTTTCACCCCTTTCTTTCTTTCTTGTCTTTTTTCCCGGGCTGGGTGGCGGCGGCGGCGGGGTGGGGGAGACTTTGATGCCCGAGCTCGCGTCCACCTTTCTCTACATGTCGACGTCCCTGGAAACGGTCACACGGATGCCATGGTTACTTCTGCCACGGTAAGGGGAGGAGGGAGCGTCGGGTGGGCAGGTTTGGGGGTGGGGGCCTAGTGGGGGGGGCTCCCCAGAGGGCCAGCTCGCCGACCCCCGCTCCGCAGCCGCCCCCGCCCCCGGCGCGGTGCGCTCTCCCCGGCCCGTGCCCTCGCCGAAGTTTGCGCTGGGATCGGCCCAGGCCGAGACTCAGCCACGGCCACCCCCTCCCCGCCTCACACTCATGGACACACACACGCACGCGGACACTCCTCCCCACCTCCTCTCGCGCTCCTCGGCCGCCCGAGAAACCGCCCCGTATCTGGGAAAGTGATCAGGTTTAAGGGACCTGGAGTGGCAATGGGGGACGGAGACGGGGGGAAAGGGGACGACGGAAGGGCAGGAAAGAGATCCGACTGAACTGGCAGCCCCCGCGCCCCTGCTGCTGCTGCGGAGATGGCCCCCGGCCCCCAGCACATCCCGAAACAAAAGCGGGCGGCTGCAGAGCCCAGGCGGGGAGGGGGCGAGCGTGAGGCCGCCCTCCCCGGCACGCACCCCGGACTCCCCGCGCGCCTCGGCTCCCGGGGCCCGGGCGTGGGCTGGGGGAGGGGACTCGCGGCTTTCGACCAGGACCGTCGCTTCCCAGTTTGTGGTGTTGAAACTCCGGGCCGGCGCGGCGTACCTGTTCTGGAGTGCCCTGCCTCCGCCGAAAGCTGTCTCGGAACGACCCGGCACTCCGGGCGGGTCCTGGCCGGCGCCCACCCCGCAGCTCCCCCGCCCTTGTTCTCTATGCATATGTTAGAGCTCCGCGCGCGGCCGGCGCAGCGGGGACCCCGCCGCGAGCGGCGGGCGCGCGGGCCGGGCCATCCCTGGGGAATTCCCGGCGAGGAATTGAGGCCGAGGTGTGAGTAGCTGGGAGACCCCGGGACCAGCGGGGCTAGGGCCGAGTTAAAGGGACCCTCAATGGACCAAGCTGTTCTCTTGCCTCAGGTCATAGTCCTACTGCAATTTGGGACGCTTGGGGCTGAAGGTTCGGGAAGGAGGGGCTCTGTGGGGGAGGGGACTCTGCTTGCCGCTTTCGGGCTCAAGCGGATGCGTGGCGAGGAGGCGCTGCTGCTGTGCGGGTGCTGGAGTTGGGCCCCTGCGCTCCTCGTCAGCGCTTCAGTGCCCGGACCGGGCAGGGGCCGCTGGCTAGTAAGGATCCCTCTTAGTGGCTCGGGCATTCCAGGTGGAGAAAATGCAGAACCACGCCGCCTAGTCTGGACCTCTGGCGGCGGGCGGCAGGTTCAGGGTCTGAGTGGACGCAGCTGCCCAGACGCAGCCGGAGCGCTGGGCTCAGAGCCGGAGCGCTGGGAGACCGCGCGCCGGTGGACTTGTTTGTGTGTGCGGAGAGCAGGAGGCGGATGCTGCCGGGACGGCAAACGCGGGCGGCTGGTACGCCTGGAGTTTGATGTTTGTAACTCGGCCGACTACGGAATGTCGTGCCAGACGACCTGCTTTTTAATAAACAGATGCCCTCTCCCACCCTTCAGAACAGAGCCAGAAAAGCAATCGAAGCCTGCAATAAGCGTCAGGATGGGAGAAAGTTGTAACGTACAGGGAACTTTGCAACCCGTTCTGGTTTCACAACGCTCAGAAATTCTCCAGCACACTCAACCTGCCCCCACCCCCCCCATCTCCCTCTCCCTCCCTCAATTCCTCACTGACATGTTGCACAAAGAAAGTTGAGAGGTAGAATTCAGAAGATAAAATCCAACCGCCTGCCTTGGGCTCAAATGCTTAAACCTGGGTATAGCCTTGGGAGTGGAGGGAGATGAAAGAAATCAAGCTCTGTGAATGGTGGAGGAGGGCAGTCTGTGGGGTTTGCGGGGGGTTGGGGAGGTAAGATTTTGTGTTTGTGAGAACTGTGTTGTAGCTGGAAATGGAGGAATGGGCTCAATTTTTTATAGAGGGAAATCGAGATCCTGGGGCGCCCTGTATGGTCAGAGGTCTTTGGAAAGTCTCTGCAAGAGGGTGTGGGGGAGGGGGGGGATGGCCAGAGAGTGGGAGCTGCACCCTGCTCTGTGCCCCGCGGAGGGTGTGCTTCTGAGGAGCCTGTTGGATGGGCATATGTGTGACTGGCAGATGAGAGCATGTGGAAGCATAGGTGTAGCTAATGAGAAATCTGTGCCTGCGAAGGGTGTCAGAGCCAGAGAGGTACAGTGTGTGGAAGACAGATGGCTTGTGCATGCCTGCACAGATACATGGAGTGGGTGTGGTGTGGGATGGGGGCTGTATGTGGGAGCCAAAGGTGGATGGACGCGTGGAAGGTGAGGATTACCAAAGGGATGGGGGGAGGGGTTTCTGTGCAGAGCAGAGCGTGGACTTAATGAGTGTGCACTGGGAGATTTGGCTGGGATGCCATTAGGGCCTGTGGGGATAGAAAAGTGTGGACTCAGACACTCGTTTTAGGGAGACAAGGCATTTGCAGGGAAGGATGCTGGACTGTTTTGTGCCTTCTCCCCCTCCTTACTCCCCCAGAGAGGAGGGAATTGGAGAAGGCGTAGAATGAGGGATGTACATTTAAGGGGAAAAGTCCTGTGTGTTGGCACGGCGTGGGGATCAGGAAGTATGTCTGCATAAGACTGGAGTGAGGGGGGGAATACATTTTGCATGCCTACTGCCAGAGATGCATGTTGTATTATATCACATAATGGGTTTCTTATTTAATAGAGGATTTCACTGTCACTAATTAATATTGATTATCAGTTAACGTTTATGGAATGCCTGCTGGATGCTGGGCCCATGGCTGAGTACGGGACATGGCACAGTGCCCTGGAAAAATTCCTTCTTGGGGCTCAGCTGACTGCTGCAATTTTGCCAGGATGAATAAAGAGAGCTGATGCTAGTTGAGGTTTCTTCAAGAACTGTAATTCAGTTTCTAAAGATGTTTACGGATCTTGGGGGACAAAGGGAAGCTGATTTGAAATATATCTGTTTTGTTAAAAGAAGTTAGAAAATAGGGATGATGTATAGTTTTGTGTGTTGGGGAGGGAGCTGGAGGGTGTCTCTGTTTCTTGTAGGGGGTGTGAGCTGAGAATTAGGGTATGGAGGGCTGCTTATCCAGGTCAGAATGCAGGTTCTCATACATCTGAGGACTGCGTTTCGGAGAGTGTACAGTACCTATTCACTAGCAGGGAGGAGACTTGATACATGGAGCTGGAGAAGGGCAAAGCAGTGATCAAGAAAGATGAAGGTTGAGAGTGTTTATTAATCTTTGATGTTTTCTGGGCTGTGAGTGTAAAGATGACCTGGTGTGTGTGTTTGTGTGTGTGTGTGTGTGTGTGTGTGTGTGTGTGTGCATGCACACTATAGGTCTGGAGTCAAGTCACTGGAAGGAAGCTAGCCGGGTGATAGGAGGGGTGTCTGTTCAGGCTCTTGCCAGGGAGTGGGGTGTATGTTTTTGCAGGAATTCTGTGTGTCTGAGGAAGGATGAAAACTGTTTTGGATGCTCAGATGTGTATCTAAAGTAAAAAAGGTGTAGAGAAAAGAAGGGCAGTAGGCTTCAGGGAGCCTTTGAGGACTGAAAGAAGCATAACGCTGGCTGGGTTCACACTCTGAGAGAGCCAGTGGGGTGGCTGGATCGGGGCAGGGAGAGGGAGTGCTTTCCTGGACCTATTGAAAGGATGTCTCATTCTTTACTTTCTCATTGTGGGAGGGCATATGATTCGGGGGACTTGATTTGATTCGTGACATTTTTGAGTTCATGAAACAATATGGGTGTGACATTTTGAGGCACTACCTTATTTCTAGGGGAAGTTCATCGAGGTAAGAGAGAGCTGACAGAGGGTCTGACCACTGATCAGAAGGTCTGGTGGCCGAGGACGGTGTCGTGGAAGTGGGAGGCTGCTTGCTGGGAATGCCTTGATTCTACTCCAGTTCTGCCACTTTGGAGCAATGTGACTTTGGGAAAGTTTCCTAATCTCTCTGAGCCTCGATTTCTCCATTTATAGAATGGCAATGTCTGTAATGACAGAATAAGAAGAAAAGTTCACGTTGCTTTTCCCCCAAAGCTTGGTGAGTTGAGAAGTACAAAGCTTTAATCAAAGATGACGTCTAATTGAATGTAGGCTCTAGGAAAATGGGATCTGTACCCCTTCCCCTTTACAGGCAAGTTTGGTAAAATAATCTCAATGTCCACTGCTCACCTACAGTCTAAACAGAATTTTCTATAACTGCTTCAGTTTACTCATCCATAAAATGGAGGCAGCCAAATCTAGATTATAGTTGATGGTAATCTTCCTTCATGATTGGTCTTTGAACTATTCAGAAGAAAGGTGATCCAACGATCAATGTTACTAATCATCAGACAGGCATTTTCCTATTCTTTAACATGAGCAATGCAGATTATGATGCCGAAACAAATGTGAGAACAGAGAAAATAGTAATTGTCCTTGGCCTATTTGAATAAAAGAAGAGAAAGCCCAGCCATCCTGGGTCACCATGAAGATCCGTTTTTCTCAAGACCATGGTCCTTCGCAAGCAGGAGCCTGCTGGAAAGAAGAGGCCTGGGCTTTGGATTTGTGAAATGCTGTATGTCCAGTACAGCCAGCTGATAAGCCCCTTTCCACAGAGGCAGAAACGGAGGCACAGAGGGGCACAGGAAACCCACTGAAGCCTCCGAGTCCTCCCAGGAGTCAGCACACTGCTGGCTCAGAGTCAGGCTCCCATCCTCGAGTTCAGTGGCCATAAATAGTCAGGAGCTAAGCTATTTCCATGAGGCACTAAACCAATTCTGTTGCTTTTCTTGGCGAGATTGGGCCAATTAAGTTGATTGGAAGAGGTCACTGCTGATGGGTCTCACATTCCCCAGACAGGACAGGACAGCAGAGTTTAATTACATAACATTTCCCATCTCTGCAGTTCCCCTCCCAGATGTATCAGATGTTCAGGCCTCTCCTCTTCCCCTCCATTGAGGACAAATAATTGAGCAGGCAGCTTCTGTTTCAGGCTTCTCCAGACCTTTTCCTGAGCTCCCACCCCCACTAGAG